CATGAAGATGATGATAAAAAAGAACAAGTGGTTCAAGACGAAAAAAGTCTTATGTTTGGAATCATATGAAACGCAAAGATAAAGACAAAGCTTTTGCAACTATTGTGGTAAATCATTGTATGCTTCATCAGCTAGTGGGACATCACATTTGAAGCGTCATATCAGAGATTACAGAATGAAGCCTAGATTTGGTAACGTGGCTAACATGATTATTGATCATGCTGGAAAGTTGAGAGAGAAAAAAGTTGATTAGGCAATTTGGAGGGAAAACGTTGCCAAAATGATCATTGGACATGAACTCCCTTTCGCCTTTGTGGAGTATAAGATGTATCGAGAGATGATGCAATATGCCAACCCATATCTAAAAATGATCAGTAGGAATACTGCTGTTGCTGATTGTCTTAAGTTTTATGAGGGAGAGAAAAAGAAGTTGAAGCTTGAATTAGTTAGAATTCGTAGTCGGATATGCTTGACCACTGATATTTGGACTACTATAAGTCATGAGGGGTATATATATTTGACGGGGCACTATGTGGATGATGAATGAAACTTGAATAGCAAGATACTTTCATTCACTGCTTTCTCTCCCCCCATACAGGAATGGAAATTGCGAAGAGGATAATTAGTTGTTTGAAGGAATGAGGTATTGAAAAGAATGTGCTTTCAATCACCGTTGATAACGCTACATCGAATGATAGTATGATGGTCATCTTGCAACATCGCCTTGAAGCGCAAAACTTTTTATTAGGCAAAGGTGAACATTTTCATGTGAGATGTAGTGCACATATCCTAAATCTTATAGTGCAGAGCGGATTAAAGGTGATTAATGGTGCTGTGGTCAAAATTAGAGAAAGTGTGAAGTATTTTAGAGGATTAGAGGTGAGGTTGAAGGCATTTGAGGAATACACGGAACAATTTAGTTGTGCTTCCGGTTCTTCTTTATCTATAGATGTGAGCATTCGTTGGAATTCAACTCATACAATGCTTGATAATTCTCTCAAACATAGATATGTTTTTTATGGTCTTGCGGTGATTGATAAGCACTATAAGCATTGTCCTATAGACGAGGAGTGGATTAAGGCAGAAAAGATACGAGACTTTCTAAAGCCGTTTGCTGAAATTACCAACTTGATTTCGGGTTCACGTTATCCAACTTCAAACTTATACTTCTTGAAGATTTGGAAGATTGAGAAACTCTTGAAATAATATCAAGAGAGTGTAGATACAGATATTCAAAAAATGGCTGAAACAATGCAAGAAAAATTGGACAAATATTGGGAGGAATATAGTTGCATTCTCTCCATGGCAGTTGTGCTTGATACGAGAATAATGTTGCAAGGGTTGAAATATTATTATAATCAACTTGAGAAGAACACTAGTTAAAACAAAGTTGACAATGTGAAAAGTAAGATGTTCTCTCTTTGAAGAATACAAAACCAACTTCGGGATACAAATTTCTAAAAGTTCTTCGCAATCCGAAGTCAGAGATACAAAGGAGGATATAAGTTATTGTTTTTTTTATGTATTTGTTATTCTCATTTCGTTATTGATTTATTTATATTACATTGTTTGTTTTTGCTCTCTTGATATGATAGGATGATTTGTCTGGTTGCGATGACGATACATCTTCGTTTGAGGATGGAACAAAGTCAGGTTTAGAAAAGTATTTGTTTAATATGAAGATGAACTCGAAGCGGAACAAGAACTTGGATGTATTGCAGTTTTGGAGGAGAGAAGTCGACAAATGTGGTAATGAATTAGCGATGGTATTTTGAGCATTCCCATCACTACAGTTGCTTCAGAGTCATCTTTTAGTGTTGGTTCCCGTGTGTTAAACAAATATAGAAGTCGTCTTTTACCATCAAATGTTCAAGCATTGTTGTGTGCACGCTTATGGTTATTTGGTTACACGGAAGATGGTAATGTATAGTTTCTTATAATTTTGTTAATTTCATTACATGTTTAATATATAATAGATATAACTTTATTTTTTTCGATATACAGAGTCAAGTGATCTTGATGGATTTTTAACTATTTTGTCGTCTGCTACGGATGTCGCATCTTCGTCAACGATGAATGAAAAATAATTGCTTAATGGTTATTATGGTTGTGTTGATTTTGGATTTTTATTGTAAGGGTTGTGTTTATTTTGGATTCTTATTGCAAGTCTTTTGATTTTGGATTTTTTATTATCTCAAATATGTACTTTTGCATTTGTTGTGTAACACTTACGTATTTTGTCATTAGTTTGGATTCATGTTTTTATATTTGTTTGATTTTTTTAAAATGTTCAGGCCCGAAATCTGACCCGAGCAAGTAAAAAAGCCCATAGGGTCGGGTCTCGGGCCTTAATATTAGATCCATTAATGTTTCGGGCTGGGTCGGCCCGACCCGTAAATCATCAGGCTTTTCTCGGGTTCTGGCCAGGCCGGCCCGACCCGCACATTTTGACACCCCTAGCAGAAGGTGAATGGTAAATTGTCAATCGTATCAGAAATAGCGAGAGATATATTGACATTTCCGATTTCTGCCATTTCATCCGAATCAATATTTAGTACCGGAGGTCGCATTCTAAACCAATGTCTCTCGATATGGTTGAGTCATTGATCCTTACGCAAAATTGGTTGCAGTATCCAATTTATTCTGATGAAAATCATAATTTTGGTGATGTGATCGAAGAAAACGACTTTATGTATCAATTGGCCGAATGTATTTCTTATTATTTTTACCTTGTTTGTTAAATGTAACATAAAACTTTAATTTAATGACTTATAGATTTTTCTTTGTTTGCAAAGAATTCCAAAAAACATTGGGACAAAGTGATTTATCTGTCTAAGAAGATTGATCATGATAACTCTTTTTATCTTGATTATAATTTTATATTATATTGTATTTATTCATACTTATTTAATCATTGTTTTACTATTTTCAAGGTTTGCAAAATGAAGATGTGATTTCGAGAAGATTTAGATGTGGAACATTTTGAATTTGTTTTTGTATGAACAATATGGAAACAATATGATTTTTGTTTATTTTGTCGTTTTATTTTGTCCATACAAGGAAAAACATGTTGATTTGGTTGTTTATATTGTCGAGACTATAGTGATTTTTTTTTTATATTATGTTTTGTTTGATATAACTGATTCAAACCGAATCTTTATTTGGTTATATATAGTTTTTAATAGACAAAACCGAACCGAACTAAAACTGAATCAAACCGAATAAAATTAATTCACCATTTGGTTATGTATTTTGATAATTCGAAATAACTGATCCCAAATAACCGTAACCGATTAACCCGAAATCGACCGTTCCTCTACCCCTATTTCATCCTATATAACATGTTTCATCCTAAAGGTTTTTCAAAATATTAAATGATAATATAAAAATTAGATAATAAAGTCGAGAGTATTTTTGGTAAAATTTTATAAAAAGGTATAGTTTGCAAATAATGAAAAAAATATACATTTTCAATCTCTCTCCAAAATTGATACATTTGTGTAAATTTTTTCTTTAATATTTGTAAATATTCGAAGATATTTTTAGACACGCAAATACTAAAATACGAAATCAAATTTCGAAACACTTGGAATTGAATTCATAAATATCAAAATATCCAATACTATAGCAAGACAGAGATAGTATAATAGTTTTGAGAAGAAAAAAATATATTCTATACCTAATTTTGTTATTAATTGAAGTTGAACTAATAATAACACAAATAGAGATCACGTGATTTCTTCCCGCTTCCACTCATCACAACAACCAAAACAGGCAACTCTTCCTATTTTTGTAACTAATTAAATAAAACGAGTTATATATATATATAGATATATATATATATATATATATATATATTATCTATTATTACAAACACCTTATGTACATTACAAATGAACTAACTATTCAAATTCCTTCTAAACATCTAAATGTCTACAAGTGTGTGTGTGTATATATATACAAACTCCATATAAGCTTCAAAAAAGCAGTCAATATAAATGCAACAACGCTGTTGTGTCGGTTCGTAAAATAAAGTTTTCAGTTTTCACTGTATATTTTTATAAATTCATTATTCGTTAATACACAAAAAAATGGAATCAAAATATAGAAAATATTCGAAAAAATTGTGATATTATGTCTAGCGAATATTTAAAATATATTTTATTTCGTTATTTTGAATATTTTCTCTATATAATATCGAGATATATTAAAGAGAGTATCAGAATATATTCTCTATATTCAAAATTTAAAATAGTTCAAAAAAAATTATGAAAAAATGAGAATTCAGCTAAAGCATAGATTTTATGCAAATCATTTTGATCGCTGCAATGGCATTGTTTTCCTCTTGAATTTCGTCGGATAATGAACTAACTCATATATATATATA